GTACTATATTTTGAACGTGCGGGGACCTGTCTGTCTGTCCGTCGGTCCGTCTGTGGAACTAAACCGTAGAACTAAACGCAGGATTTTCACAAAAATTGACATTCCCAATCGTTCTGCAGATGTCGCGACCGTCGAAATTTGAAACATCTTTTATATTTTTTTAACATTTAACATTTTAACATTTAAAAAATTACTCCAAGTTTTTAATTACGTTTTTGCTTGAATATTAAAAATTTTTTTAAAAAATTTAACAGGCTCGATGAAAACTAAAATTACAAAAATTGCAAAAGTTATTTTTTACGACGTCCTTCACTTCTTTATTGAATATCTATATACATGAGTATATGTATGTGTATTTATATACTACATTCGAGCAAAAAAATTGGAGCCCTTTTGAAGAAAATCGGTTTATGTATTGTTTGAAACCGATTTTCTTAAAAAGGGCTCGAATATTTTTGCTCGAATAGAGTAGTTTTCTCAATAACATTGCAAAGGTTCAATTTCCATTAAAATCTGGAATTCCGAAAAATAATGTATAATATTATTTCTTTCTGCTTACTCGATACATGCTTAGTTGGTACTTATAACATTGTGAATTCCCCGCACAGTAGAAAAACGCACACAATGTTTTTTGGCATTGCGCACGTATGTGTGTGTGTTTTAACGCGCGAGCGTGTTTGAAAGTCATTTTTCTTCTCCTTCCTAAAAACGTGTATAATTATTTAGAGGATGGTAATTAAATTTATGCAATTAGTTTATAATGCTAAGCTTCATTGCATGAGTACTTGTTTTGAAAACGAGCGACGTTAGGAGCGACGAATGCAATAAAGCAACATCATAAACGATTTTTATAGGCTTCTTTTTGTCTAATAGCATTATAAATACATAAGAGAATCAAACTTAATTTTGCAAAATAACTTTGTGACGTCTCGGGTATTTGACTTCTGTACGAGAAAAAGGTGGTCGGCTGTTCCATTTACCTTTACCTCCCCTCGATTCTCTCGCTGCGATTGGCTGAACGTGTGATGACGCAATCATTCATGCCGTATAATGTTAATACGTCATAATTTGTGCTGAAAATGCCCGATTATGAACGATTTCTTGCAACAGGTAGGTCGTTTATAATGCTTGTATACAAAAAAACAAACTACTATTATATTATTGAGTATGAGTATTCTGAATTTGTCTTTTCGGAAGCGTGATGGGATATGAACATACATTGTAAAATGTTTTTATCTCCGGTTTTTCGTTCAGAAAGACCGGGAGAGTTGGCGCAGGGCATAAACTGATATGACTGCAGTCTCTCTAACCGGGAGATCCTAGGTTCGCGACGGTGGCAGGATTTTCGACACTACCTTGTTTGTCAAATTCAGTCGCTGTCTGGAGGAGAATTCTAACGGCCGGCTGCTCTGATCAGTAGTTTTCCGTGTTTTCTCCGATCAACAAAGTCTCCGTGGTTGCTCCGATCTCTCAGACAAATGCCGGAGCAGTACCCTAACAAACGGGACACGGACCGCACGCGATCTCACCTTCCTCTTCCCTGTCCTATCCTCACCCCTTATACTAATGCACACTACACAACCCCACATGCCGGGAGGCCCGTCAGGAGCTAATCGCTTGTCCCGGCTGGGCCGGTGCCCCGCAGGTGGGAGACACCTGGCTGAGGAAAACCCCGCTAGCTCACGGTACGTCGGCGCCGAATCTCGCCATACAGCAGGGGAAAGATCACCGCCACCTCCTGAGCAAAAACATGCATTAGACTTACGGGACTTACTGTACTGGACCCTGGTAGTTGATGAGCCCGGAATCATCACTCAATCCTACAGAAAGAAATTTTTGGATAATTTTCTTCAATGCGTTGCTACTGAAAGTTTTTGAAGTTTCTAATGTAGCTCAATATTGGGAATAAATCAGGGTGCTCTATTTTTCTCAGAATCTTAAGTTTCAAAAATATGGTGGACTGGGCGGAAACAATGCTCGTGTCTCATGATCGTTAAGATTCAACACACGATTGGAGTTTAGTAGTGGGCAGAGATCTCAACTGATAGTGAGTCGTTGAATTCGGGAAGTTGCCAGCTTTGTTGGTTCGATGTGACTGCACGACGTGAAACATTGTATATGACATCAGTGATGAATTCTTTTTTGTTTTTCACAAATATTGATGGTCTACTGTGAAATATTGTTGGTCTACTGTGTAAGTAGTTAGTGTACGTGTAAGAAAGTGTAACTAATTTTTATTACCAAAAATCATGGTAAGTAGATTAATAATTTTGAAGCATGAAAACATAACCTCTTTTCTGTCTGTATAACATTTTGTGTTTAGCTTGTTTTAGTGCTGGGGGATCTTCATATACCTCACCGATGCAGCAGCCTTCCAACAAAGTTTAAAAAACTTTTAGTACCTGGAAGAATTCAACATATTCTATGTACTGGAAATTTATGTACCAAAGAATCCTATGACTATCTAAAAACTCTAGCAAGCGATGTGCATGTTGTTAGAGGCGATTTTGATGAAGTTAGTGGTTTTAAAGTGTAAATATGTAGTACAGGATGTATGAATTAGTAATTAATCTTAGAATTTTATTTCTAGAATCTAAACTATCCAGAACAGAAAGTTGTCACAGTTGGCCAATTTCGGATTGGATTATCTCATGGTCACCAAGTTGTGCCTTGGGGTGATCCAGAATCTTTAGCACTTATCCAGCGTCAATTAGATGTGGACATTCTAATATCTGGTCATACTCACAAGTTTGAAGCATATGAACATGAAAACAAATTTTATATTAATCCGGGTTCAGCCACTGGTGCCTTTAATCCACTTGACACGTAAGACATTTCTTTAGTTTTTAATACTTACAATATTTATGTTAATTTTTCCATATCACTTAAATTTCATTTTTGGTTCTATTGTCAGGAACATCATTCCATCTTTTGTATTAATGGATATACAAAGTTCCACTGTTGTTACTTATGTGTATCAACTTGTAGGAGATGAGGTTAAAGTAGAACGTATTGAATTTAAAAAGAATTAAAATTTATTTTGTATTGGAAGTTCTGTGTGTTTAGAACATACACAGAATTATAAACATACATCTTTGTAAATTATTTTCTGTTGATAAATATAATCTCATTTATCTCGAAATTGGACATTTGTTTTGTATTAAACCTAGCCCATTACTACTTCTATAAATTAATTTCTTGTGTGACTGAATTTATTGCAGGCAGAATTACAAAACTAGAACCTCTAATATCTGTAACCACAAACTGTTTCTCAAATAAACATTTGCACAATGTTCTCCAATTAGGTTGAGGGTCCCAGCCTGGGTCTCTGAACAATTTG